ACCGTTTCAAACTGCTGATTCCAAAGTCTCGACTGGATTGCCGGCGCCAGACTTTTGCTGTCAGAGTATGCAAATCTTGGAATGCCCTTCCATCTCATGTCGTTTGTGCACCCACTATTGAATCTTTCAAGCAGAGACTCGACAAAATCTTGGCACACCTCACATTCGTACACTAAAGGCAAACGGGATTCACTGTAGCCTACATTCTCTATCTCCTACCCGGATCTCTATGTGACTCCTTTTTTGATGTGTAACGATTCATCTATGTAAACATCCTATGGGACAAGAGAAGCACCAGCTTGTAAGCTATTCCCATAATAAAACTTTGACTTTGAATTTGACTTTACATATCACAAGCAAAAATACTGTTAATGCTACTTGTAACAATATTGCTAATAATGATGGTCATTATAATAATAATACGGTATTTCATAGGGTGCAAATTCTGATTCTGTTCAAAAGGAATAATCAGACGAGCACACAGAACACTTACTGTGTTTCATTGTCCACCTTGAGATTGCGTGGGTTGATGAATCGTGTCTGAATTGGTGTGAACAGTGTTCCCCCAGCACCGAAACCGCCTATAATCAATCCAACCACCAGGCCGCGATGATTAGGAAACCACTGGATTGCGGGCAAGAGTTGCATTCGAGATTATAGATGAACGTTCGTTCGTTCGTTCGAGGCAAAACACAACATGGGAAGAAAAACTGCCTAATCGCAACAAACGTTGATCAGTCGGATTGTGTAGTCAAACCCTGTCTCAGTGTGCCATTTTTGTGTGTGTTTGTGTGTGTGTGTGCATTCTCTGGGCAAAAGAACCGAGAAGTTGATGGAGATCGGTGTCCCATAGTCTCTTGTATAAAACATTTATGGAATAAACTACGGAATAGCACGCGATAGAAAATCTGAATTAGTATACATTGTGATATGCTTCCCTCTGGACCAAAGCAAGAAATCTCAAATATTCGAACGAGGACTGAGCAAAACACTTCCGGCGTACGCAGTACACGATGAGCACGAGGTGCAGATGACCAGACAGGGAAAACGTGAACTGTATGCTGCTGTGACTATATTTCAGTGATTGCAACATATTAACTATACCAAATATCGACACAGCCTAGAACAGAGCTCACAAGTCATACGAGGGTCATCGCCATATACTCGGATTGTGAGGATGGAATTCAGTGATTTCACGACGGCTACAAATGTGGTATAGTGTAGCAGCAGCAGCAGCACAGTGCGGACCGTTCGCGAGCTGTTTTTGATGATGATGATGATGATGATGATGATGATGATGATGCGCCTTCGAAAACCAGTTTGTTCCCAAATGTCAAGCGGATGAAGCATGGAATCCGATACGAATCATCAAAAGCTGCAAGGGAGGGCTTCATTAAACTGATAGAAAGGTTACCCGCCACGGTACGGGGAAGCAGTTTCACCTAAGTGAATTGAGTGCATGGAACTGTGTGCATGAACGCTGATCGGGATTACTTCGAGAATGCCTTAATGGGTGTTATTTTGGCGTTACAAATAAAACGTTTGGTGCATCCGGAAACGTTTTGTTAAGCCCTCGTAAAAACACATATATACATATATCTTTATGTGTATACACTATGAGAAGGATTTTTATTTCAATAAGGAGAACATCAAAATTTTCTTTCAGTGATTACCGAAGGCACTGTCTTTTGGAATTTGTTCCGATATTTTAAAATCAGGTAGTTGACAATAAATTTTAACCAATACACGACCAGCGCGGTACGAGTGGAACTTCTATCAGTCCAACAGATTGTATTAGGTCCGTGCTCATCTAAACCTCAAAAAATTTGTTCTCTGTGTACCAATAGCCTATGTTTTAAACACGACGGTGTTCTTGGTGGAATCTGGCATTCACATTTTCACACCCTCGAGTAAAAGTAAGAGATGCTCCGATCACTTGAATATTTGGATACCAGTTCACTTCAACTCACAGCAGGTCGATGTGATCTTGTGCACGATTCATCGTCCAAACGGAGAGGTAATTGAGCACACCCCTGCAAAGCTTGTGATGCTAGCACGATGACCCGAACCAAGCCTTTATTTCAGATTTCCTTAGATGAGATGGAAATTAAAACATTCCTAAATGTGATATTCTTATTCGGACGGAGTTAGTACTCGGAACAGATTTGAACGAGACTGTTCAATCTCTTGTCTTTAAGGTGTATAACTGCAAACTGATAAACGCATTCTGATTGAACGGATAAATAATTGTGACACGTTGTTGATAAACCGAGAGAAAAATTCTACCACTTGAAAAAACTCAACAAGGGAATCAACAGGTTGCTTATTCGTGATCAGGGATCAGAGACTCACCATCCCCGCGGCCGACATGGTCACCGAATATCCAAACCCCATTCCGAAACCTTGTAGTACACCATAGGTCAATAACACACCCAAGTAACCAGTTTTCAGTGTGAAATAGGTTAGTGCAATGCCACCACTGTAACGGTGAGAGAAGAAGGACAAAGGAAGAAATGAATCATGTTTCACCTACCCAAATGAAACTCGTAAAAGTCACACTCAGATCATAAAAATTCATGATGAGAAATGACAGCACAACAAGATAAAGGCAACGTTTGCGGTGAATGAAATATCTTATTTTCCACTGTAAAAATCATATGTATTAAACCTTATGATAAACTTATTTTATCCCCTGAGAAAACATTCTTTAGGAATAATGTGAACGCTTCTCAATCTTCACGCCTCAATTTCTCCCAAAACAGTTGTCTACATATCGATTATTCAATGGATATGCTGATATGAAGTCATACCAACCAACCGGAGACTTTCTACATTGCTACATGATTCCGATATCAGTTACAACACAGCTTAATCGGATATCAACGTGCCAACCGGTCGTCACGTGTAATTACATTCAGTGACCTTGACACGCACCA